AACAATTGCCATTAGCAAACTGAAAGATTTTTTAAGACAACACTTCAGTGTAACACGCAACGTCGAGCAGTGAAGTTCGTTTATCTACGTCTTGACACTTTGCCGGCCGCTTACTTCTCGCATCGCCTTGCCGTCGGCGAATTTCGCGCGGGTTCTACTGCTCGCCGACGACGGTGATATTAAAGAATATCAAGAAAAGACAATCGGGATAGTTAAAACAGAAGCATAGTGGAAACATTGTCAGCCGCGCTGAACCGAAGTCACGCGTACATGACAGCGATCGATAGCCGTCGGCGAGCAAAAGTCACGCACGCGTACGTACACAGCGGCCGGCAAAGTATTAATATTTGCCAGTTTTCAATATCGTGGATTCAAAGTTACGTTCAAAGTTACGCGCGATGTAAGAATTCTAAACAGTATCAAAAATCGATGCCGAGAAAAGAAGCAGTATTTCAACCTTAAAACGTCGAAGAGCGACGAGAGCAGTTTTAATGCGTCTATGAAGAAACTGAAAATACAGAAAGAAATCCTCGTGCCGCGAGATAGCTTCATAGAGTATATAGAATTGTAAATTTTATTTGCAATTCTATACTCTAACAGTGTGTATGTGTTTTGATAATTGCTACATTTGTGAAGTGCAAAATTTGCAACAATGATGCGTGCAAACTGCAACACTGATGTGAAGTTTGAAACTGCAAATATAATAGATTTTCTGTTATAAATTCTGAGAAAACAAGCTTTTTCCGGCCTGCTGACTGGATATATATAACTCCTTAATCGTTCGTGCTCGCTCGGCTAAATGTGCTAAATAGAGTTGCATGCTCGACGATAAATAGGATACTTCGTTCTCTCGATCGGGCGTCTCTCCGCGGACGAGTTTATTCGTTCATGAGTCTTACATCCCGCCAGACCGGCCGATTGGCGGAGACGGCGTACTACGACGGGTTCGCTTCTATGGTGCATACATATATATATATATATATACGTGTGTGCACGCACACTTACACATGTACGTGTGAGAAGACCCTAGTATCGTTTTCGCGTTGGGGAGAGATTTTGTGGGGATGAAGCGATTACCGCAAAGCAACGGTAAGCCGAAGTTGCGGTCTGAGATATAATGGATGTGGTGAGTATTACGGCTTTCGAAAGTATGAATGTCGACACCCTCTCCCTCTTAGTCTTCGCCCTTTAGTTCAAACAAGCATCAAAGTAAAGAGTTACCCGTCGACGTTATTTCAGTAGAGAAATATCTGCGTATAAGCGCATTATTTTTTAAAAAGAATTTTGCGGAACGGAGCCGGTAGAATTTATGTAAAGAAAATAAATGATTTTCCCCCGCGGGAATCACTTTGATCTATATCTGGAGGTATTTACAGATATTTAAATCACCAAACAAGATCTACCGTCGTAGATCTTGTTTGGTGACATGTACTTGTGGCTTGCAGTCTCAACAAACAAACACGCGATTGAAGTTTTACGCGTCGGAGAAAATTAATTTTTCGCGAGATTTACACAGTCTTCGTTCAAACGTCTCTGGCTACTTCTAACCGCTCGCGTGAGTGAAGCTTTCAGTTTCCAAACATTATTTACAATAAGGGTCTCCAGGGGCCATTTGCGAGCGGTAGAACGAGGAAGAAGAACATGTCGAGCGCATAGTAAGTTAAGTAAAACGGTGAATGAAGCAGAAAGATGAACTGTGAAGGGAAAATAATTTATGAAGAACTGTCATGATTTAGTGAAAAGTTCTAAGAATATATGTTCTTCTTTTTGAGGAATCGTTTATCGGATCTTTACTCTCTGTTGTGCATAAAAAAAAAAATACCTTCTACGCATAAAACGCACTTTTTACATGAGATATTCACGGCGCGAGGGAGGCGCTCAACGCTCTCAAATCGCATTATCCCGCGACTGTGCAACGGTGCATCCATAATACGAGCGCGCGATTCGAACGAATTACAGTTATGGCCCCGAGGATTCGCGTATCCTCTATTCCCTTTGCCGCGCTTTGCTATTGATCTGTGGTGTTCCGCGGAGTCTGACAGCCGTGCGAGACGCCGCGAAGATTCGACCGGCCCGGCGGCAAACCTTGCCTCTCGCGAAACAATCAAGCGCAGGACGCGCATTTTAGTCCCGAGGAAATTAATTATCCGAGATAAAAGAAAGCAAAGAAGAATCATAGCACACGCGAAAACGAATTATCCGAGTTCTGCCGTACAGAAGCAGGTTACTGTTCTCGACCTCAAAAGCGGAAAGAAGCAATTATACAGTTTCCCTTCCTATTCGGATCTTGCCGCTGACAGAAAGAAGAGCGAAATCATCTAAAGATCCGCTGTCCGTAACGCGCGAGGAACCGTTCAAGGAGAAGTCCTCTCTCAGCCATTCTACCGAAACCGACGAGGAGAGGGAAATTTTCCTGCGCGAGCATCACCGATACGATGAGCGATACAAACAAATCCGAATAGAATAAGAGACAATACAGCTCCATTTACGCGTAGCGCAACTCTTCTCTAACTTTCCTCATTCTATTGATCTGCGCGGAGGAGGGAGGACAAGCGTAGCCACACAAATTCCGCGAGACTCGTTATTCATTATATTCCGCGGAAGATTAATATTTCCGCGGAGAATCAATATATCAATACTTCTTTATCTTTTGCGACCGAGGCGAGAGCGACGCAAGATTGGCTGCTGTCGATAATAAATGCCGATGATGGAAATGCCATGTAACGGCGCTAAGTCGAAGGAGCGAGCGGAATTCTTTAGAATAAATTACGCGTATTATGCGAGGGAACAGGGAACGGCGCGGATTCGTTATATCGGACGGAATAATCGGTTCTCCCTTCCGCCTTCAAACACAATTTAGATTAAGAATGAAAGAAACAGGGGATGAGGAAGCGAGACGCAAAGTCACAAAAGTCGGATTTGCGAAGTGACGAAACGTTAATCGATTCGCGCCGCATGGGGTCGGCCTGATTGCGAATTTGAGAGTCACGATTATTTTTCCAAGGCGCCTGCGGCCTTTCGTTTCTCGAATCGACGGTGAGAGAATAGACGAGACGTTCGACGCGATGACGGCAGGTAACAGAAACTCATCGCTCGTAAACGGTGTATTCGCCGAGAAATGGACCCCCGCTGACGGCCGCGGATGATAGCTACCGAGAGAAGATCGCTAACTTCGCTCCCGACGTCTCTCGATAGCGGGCTACACGCTCGTGAGCGCAGATTTTCAGATTACGATCGCGCGAAGATGCGCGTGATAAATGAAGACGCGAAGGCCTTCGGCAGGTTAACACATACTCGGGGAAAGGAGCGCGAGCCTCGTAAGCCTTATATCGATCGCGAAGTTAAAGTTAAAGTTAAAATTGCCGATTGTAAATCCTCGGATTTGCCTCCACTTAAGCATGAAATGAAGTTGGCCCCTTTTGTTTACTCACTTTATTCACATTTTGTACGAAGAGCCAAACAGTAAACAATAATAAGATTATTGATCCCTTGGGCTAAGTTTCGCGCACGTTTCCACTTTTCGATCATTCACTTTTCATTTAATTTTTCTTAATTACACCCCGAAGTATATATGTAAGAACGAGAGTGATAGCTGAAACGTACTGGGCTGGCGGGGGGATGAGAAAGATAAATTAGACGGAAAATTGACTTTATGTATCAATATCCCCTCTGTGATATTAACGCGGTCTCTCTGAATTGGCTCATACGTAATGGAAGTTTCATGCGTCTAACGGGTTTTTTCCTCTCTTAATCGAGATTTGTTCATTTCCCCGAAATAGAACGACATATCTTTCGGACTCGAGACAGAAAGAGATAGAGATAGAGAGATAGAGAGAGAGAGAGAGAGAGAGAGAGAGAGAGAGAGATAGAGAGAGAGAGAGAGAGAGAGAGAGAGAGAGAGAGAGAGAGAGAGAGAGAGAGCGTGGCGCGAAGCTACGGTTATTGATTATTTTGTCTCGACTTTTGTCGCGCTCGCGAAAGCGATGGTTGGCATCCATAGGTTCATGTTAGCGGGACATTAAATATTCAGCTAAGTTACGACGGATTCATACATGCGCCGCATCTCGTCTCGTTCCACCCTTACGTCGGATTATTCCAATTCCGCAGCGGACGTTGACGAATAATCAATTCGTGCCGGCATCATTAACCTACCTATCGACGTTCGTTGCTAGGCACGGACGCGTGTCCTCTCCCCCTTACAAAATATTGCGACGTTGGCAAACGTTGGCGAAAAATATGCGTGTCGAAAAGCTCACCGAAGCATGCTCCCGTTTGATCCGCGCAGAAACGAAGTGAGGCAATATACCGTGGAAATCGACGCGCGGAAGAAAATAAAATCTCATTCTCTTTTAAAACATTTCGTGTCGCGGACAGAGTCGAGAGAATTTTCATGATAATAAGTCGTCTGTTTACTCATCCCCAGTCAAGCATCCTTTTGTACATTATTATTTTGATCTCCAGCAAATTGAGTGAAATGAAATTGTGCAAGACGCGATGAAAGCATCTATGCTGATGAAACGAGTCTCTAGAGCGAATGATTTGTCGATTCTGTCTGTGATACAGTCATTTTCAAATCCTCTTCGGTAATGGATGCTCGATGATGCGTGGATGCAACAGTGCAACGTATATAATATGCAACGGATGTACAGGGGTATGTTGGCGCTGAAAATGAGCTGTTCTATTTGGATTTGTGATCTCGTGGGACATGTAAACGAGCTTTCCGTCGTTATTTGATGTACCGCTCCATTAAACGTGAAATTTAGCAACAAGTTACCTAATCTAATCGCGAGATCTGCTATGTACCAATAATATATATATACTGAATCAACGATAATGGAGATACGATAATGGAGCGTTCTCTTTGCAATTTCAGCAAATAAACTGGTCGATTTAATGCGTAAACACAAAGACTATCGGACGTTGTGCATCTGAAAGGTAGAACGGTGAGATATATGAGGAAGCGGGATTAAGAGGTTGCAAATATCTAGAAGGCCGATGAATAAGTGATATTTTGACATTTTATTCCTGCTAAACAGGTAGCAGAAATTACATAAAATTTTGTAATGATTATAAGCTTATGATATGCTTATGATAGGCTTATGATAGGCTTATGATAGGCTTATGATATAATGTTATTATGATAGACTTATAATATGATGATATGATTATGAACAGACTTATGATATGATGATATGATATGATGATATGATTACGAATAGACTTATGATATGATCTTATGATAGACTTATGATATGATCTTATGATAGACTTACGATATGATTATAATACGATAATAAAAAAAAAATATATATATATATATCATTAGAAAATTGCAATGGAAGAAAAATATGGGCGTCGGCACACGTCGAGGTTGAGAGAAAGGTTTTGCGGTGGACACTATCCCGCCTAAACGATCCATCTGAAACAAAAGAACCATATTTAAGCTAACATTTTAAGCAGTGATTTGTCGTTGACGTTCGCCGACATTTTATTTTGTCGTTTGTTATAAAATGGCGACGAGTTGAGATTGAGATTTCGAAAATTGCGAAAAATTTTCGTCTTTTTCATGTTATTTCTTTTTTTAATGAAGATCGATAAGAAAAGTGAGTTGAATCGTCAACCACAAAAGAAAGTTACTGTGAGTATTATGTAAAAATTTGAGAACGATCCATTGATTGGTTTTTGAGATATCGTTTTTGAAAATCGTGCTTCAAGAAAAATACGTTTAAAGTCTCAAGTTCAGTTTAATTATTATTAACAGTAGAATTTTGAAATTTACTTTTAGTCGGCAATTCCAGGGCCATATGAAATATCCACATCAGTAACAGCATCGCTCCATGAAGACTTCCATGTTGATCATATTGACGGCGAGCAATTCTTCTTATCGCCTCTTGCGTCCGCACTTCGGCCATATCGATGCTCTTTCCATATTCACGATATGCAGCACAATGATCACAATTGATATGATCAATATTTGCATTATTAATGTATCATTATAATAAATATGCGATAACACTTTCATTAAAAATATATGCAGCATATTGGAAACAATTTGTATAATATGTACACCACTATGCTGCACTATTGACGCTATGCGCCGCGTAATTTACCGGCCGCGTCAAATACCAGAATTCGAGTGCTCGATCCCGCTTTACTCAACGCTCTGTAACTTCGTAACATTTTTGCAGATATCGACATGAAATCTTCAGAATATATTCTCGAAACTTGAAGCTTTAAGAAAATGTAAGAAAAATGTAAAAAAGAAATCGATTTTTTTACCCTGCTAGGTGTATGTAACGCGAATCAGACAATCTGTACGTGTTGCGAGGATTAAAAGGAAGGAGCACACGCTTCTTAAAAAAAAATCTGAATATTCGTATCTTAAACACGAATAAAGATATCTATCGCGCCAGTCGTGTTCTTCCTTCGGTGGGACCGATCCGCCGCGCGCGGTCGGCGCAAAAAACACGGTAATTTTGTAATAAAATTACACGACTGTCGCGTATCGATATCGCACGACACATAAAACAGCGTCGAGCTCTAACGTATCACCTCCTCCCTAAAAATGCCTGAAAAATCCAAGCAATTTTTCAGCAATCGAAGGATTGAACACCCCTATAACGCCGCGTGCAGTTTCCTGTTTATCGGGTATCTTCGCTCTCTCCGCGCGCGTGTCCGCTCCATCTCTCAGTAAAAGAAAATATCCGCTGGCGCGTCGCGATTCTTTCACGCCACGTCCCGTCCTGTCTCATCCCGTCCGTCCCGTCCCGTCCTGTCCCGCCTCGCCCGGTCCGGTCTGGTCCGGTCTGGTCTGGTCGCCGAAAGAGATAGCGTCGTCGGGGCGCCGTGATGACGAGTCGCGGACGCGGCAACGCGTAATAAACTTTATTAATGACCGTTTCGCGCGCGACCGGGCGAGGACGCTCGCGGATAACGCGGACGAGAGACGGATGACGTCACTTGCCGGGACGTCCTACTCGCGCGCGCGGATACGGACAAGCGCGAGAGGCCGAAGATTTTCCTCGGCGCGCACGCACGCACGCACTTACACGCGACGCGCGAACAGCTCCGGCCGAAGGTACCGTGAGACACGCGGCGGAAGGGGAATCGATGCAGAAGTGAATGAATGCGGCGAAGCGTGGGCGAGCAGTGGTTCTCCGGTTTCATCTTCTTGGTTCGCGTCTGTCGCGGCAAGGGCCGATCACGGCGCGATGGGCCGTGAAAGTATTCCCCGAATCCTTCGTAGCTCGGACTGAATCGGGCCGAGTTGCATACAACGACCGCGCGAAGTAGGAGCCTCGCGAATTTAGAAAATCTAGACGCGTCACGTCGCTCGCGCTGAGTTATTCGTAGTCGCGGTACTAAGAACGACAGAGAGAGAGAGAGAGAGACAACGCCTAGCCCGATCGCCATCACGCCCTTTCGCGCCGCGCGTCGCGCAAATTTTCCCTCCCTCCTGCTCATCGACATTATTTCTCGGAAAGTCCTCGCGACGATGTAGAGTCTCGCGATTTCTCTCTCGATGATCGGTCTGGTTTTAACATACATTCACAGTCGCTGCCGTGTCATTATTCTGCGCCGGAATCTTTTCTTGAAGAAGTAGCTCTCGATCGTCACAATAGAATCGCATGAAGAAGCAAATGGACGGATGGATTTACGGATGGATGTCCGAGGTGGACGACTGTATTTTTAGCTACCGTCAGCGCGCCGACAGCGGTCGGAAATTAACCCAAGATGAGCGCCGAAGGGAAATCGACGCCAGGTCGGTGCCGATATCACGCTGATCTTTCGCGCGCGAGCATGAGAGAGAACACGAAGCCGGTGCCTGGCGCCGCGAGAATGCGACAGGATCTCGCGGCCGCGGCTTCAAGAGGAGAGACGCAGCATGCACGCGACCGCTCGACCGGCACCACCGGAATAGTACCGGACCGCCATCTCCGCTTCGTCGGCTAGACGACACGGCGCTTGATTCATTCATGAAAAACACGAGGCTTTATCCCAATTAACACGAGTCTCCACTCAATTCATGCGGCCGCGTCGACGGTCATTAATTTCCCGCGGTGACTACTTGACCGCTTCGTCGATACGAGCGTTGCACGCGGCGCGCCTCGCGCGAAGGAACGGCAAGACGAGCGGACGGACGAACGGATGGACGGTGGAATCGCGAGGAAGGAGCCTGTGGACCCGACACCGCACGCAGAGCCTTTCTCTTGATCTATGTTGCTATCCTCTATCCGCCTGGCAAGCGCCAGCAATATCCGGACTACAGCTACGAGCGTCGTACGTTATGCGACGCTCGTACATCCGACGGTGTTTGGAAGCGGCAAGCTGAGATCCGCCGCGCTGATAAGGACGGCGCCCCCTCCCACCGATATCCCTCTCCGCCTCGCGCGTTCTTTTGTACTTGGTCCTTTGCGGATTTCTTCTCGGGGCGAGTCGCTGAAGTTTGTTAGGCTTGTTAGGAGGCAGTTCGTCAGAAGCAAACGTGTTGACAAGGAGCTCACGAATATTCCCCCGCCCCTCGTCCCGGCCTTTCATCTCACGTACTTTTTCGCCCGCCCGTCATTCTTTTACTTTTCCACACCGAGTAGCTCCAATAACGCTCTCGTTATTCGCGGATTGCCCCTACGCGCACATTTTATTTATACGACATTATAGATTTCTTCATAATGTTTGATGGCTACAATCCGGCGGTAATGAGAGCAATAATCCCGCCGATATATATTCCTCTCACTTTTTCGCGCTCTCTTTCTTACGCGGCGGAAGTTTTTTTCCCTGCGCGGATTCCCTTTGCGCTTCTCTCTCTACGCTGTTTATTGATCGTCATCGTCTGTGCACAGTATCGAATATAAAATTTCGCGAATTTTCCCATGCTGCCCATTTTCGTACGTGCTTTGATTTAATACAGCCGACGGTCGGTCGGACGGTGGTCGAGGGCCGACGACTGACTGCGCCCGTCACGTATGTGAATTTGTCCTTTATTGACACAACTGTCGTGTTGCTGCGTAGTTTACGATAACAAAGAGCTACATTAACTCAAATCGCCACGGGAACTCGTGCGCGACGAAAACGTGCAAATTCATGATTGTAATTGCCAATCAACGACGAGCTTTCGAAATGTCGGACATTTGTGTTTACCGATCACCGCGGCCCTCGAAATACCCAACAGCGTCCCCTCACGCGAATTGTGTTCTCTTAACCCTTAAAAGCTACCGAGGATAAAATTTCACCCCACTTTGTTTCGTACTTCTTAAATTATCCGCTGCAAATAATTTTTCCATTTTTCGTCTAATATTCAATAATATTAAAATATTGAATTGCATTCGTTTGACTTTTTCCGCATTTCTAAGATAAGAAGTATGATTTTCTTTTATGTATTATAACTTTGATGAGTCAAGATCAAAGTTTCCGCTACATCCTCACTCGCGGCTGTTTGTTATCTCGAGCGCAGAGATCCTCCTCGATGAGCGACCCTTCATCCCCTTGATCCTTCCCTTTTTTCTCGCTATTATTCTTCTCGAGTCGCTTTCGCACACACGTTCATATCAATTATATGTTCTGTTATAACGTTCGACAGTTGCAATCCGATTGTAATAGAAATGTCGGTGAGCCCGCCGATGCTCCTCCCACTTTTTCGCGCTCTCTTTTATGTTACCGAGTAATCCATTACGACTTATGAGCGCGGATTGTTTTGCAGGCTAAACGATCTGCTGCGTAATCGCTCCTCTAATTGTCGTCGCGAATAGCGCTTTCGTATCTGACGCTCCGACGCCCTCCGGGGTGCATATTTTGTTGCCCTCCCCCATATGTATTTATCCGCATGCAGCGACACTTCTCATTTCAATAAACGCTCATTCGCGATGCTATCGCTTCGTTTCTCCGGGCTACATTTAACACATCCGACGCGCGGTGCCCGGGTCAGCGCATGCACGTGGCAGTTTGTCGCGCACGGTGTGATGTGCGCAACCACTTGTCGCGTTTTCGACGGCGAGTCGTGGAATCCGGCCTTGGGTTGGCGAGATAAGAAAGGAGGCGGCGATAACCTCGGCTATGCGCGCGCGCCTTGTTGCATTTCTCGTCGGCTGGGAGTGGTTACTCCTTCTCCTTTCTCCGTCATAGGTATCGCCGCACTAGCATTTTTCTCCCTCCAGTGTATTTTTCTCCGCGAATCGATCGCTGCTGCACCGTCGCAGTGCAGCGCGTCGCGTCGCAAACCGGTCCACTTAGGCCGCGTATAGTGGCATCGATTGAGAATACTCTTCGCTACCGCCGATCTTGAGAGAGACCACGAGAGAGACCACGATGGGCTAGAGGAGGGGCAGGGACAGAGAGAAGCCACCCCGCGATTCCATGTGCCGGCACAAGCGCGAGAACGCGAGAGTCGGGCGTTTGTTACGTATGATCAAACATTTGCCTTTAATTGGCTGACGTTATAACGCATCGGTCCAATTAGGGGCCGGATAGAATAAATCGTTTAATCGAAGACGGAGTGATTTACATTCTTCTTGTAGCTCGGAGGGTCGCGTGTACGTGCGCGCGCGCGCCTTCCGTAATCTTCCTTCCCGCCCTGGGAAATTATCGCGGATGCGCTTGAAGAAGCGCAGCTCGCCCCCTTCGACCGCTCGCCGGCTCGAAGAGAGCGGTTACGTCGCGGTCGACGTTCGCTTTTTTCTCGCGGGATCGCGAGATCGTGTCATATCCCCGAGAGCGAGAGAGGAAGAGCACCGATGATGGAGTATTAAGTGAAGGCTTATCAAATAGCGGTTTGTTATTAGAGGGATCGTGTTTCGCATAGACAGACGCGGCTTATTAAGGCAAAACTATACGCTAAAGATTGGGGTATCTGCGTTAAACATTCCTGCCCTAAATCCAACAATGCAAGGCACGAGCGATATGGGGAAGATCAAAGGCACTGCAAGAT